GAATATTCTCAAGAACCTTTATGAATAACCAAACATATTTTAACTCTTTTAAAGAATCATTGTAAGATCAAAAAGAAAGTTTGAAGAATCAAAAGACGATCTTGAACCCTTAAAATAGCTATGAGTTTTTATGATAACAAAAAAAAATTTCGAGAGACTATCTTAGACAAAGAAAATGTCATAATTTGTCTGTAAGACGAAGTATACTGGGTGAAGTGCACTATCTAAATTAATGTCACATTTATTTCTCGTTAAAATAATAGAATAATCTTTAATGAGCATTAACTCTTTATTCCTTAATAGATCAAATAAGAAAAGCTTTCTCGAAGATAACAAAAGCTTTTCAAAAAGGAAATGTCAAATCATTGTGTTACGAAAGAAATAGAAAACTTGGGATAACATGGCAAAGACACTGTCAAGACTGCTCTAGGTTGACAATACACTGCCACACTCAAAATAGAAGGAAATGATGATATGTATTTTCCTGGATTAGATAAGAGATACATGCATCACTGATAAGCATTTAATGTTCGCATTTAATGCATCAACGGTAATCTCTAGGATCAACAAAGAAGAAAGATGAAGTAACTTGTGAAGAATTTTTGAACATTTAAATTCAATGTTGTTGAAACGGTCATCTTCGCTAAAGCTACTATATAAGGATCAAGCCTTTATACTACAAAAAAAAAAAGAGAGAAGGGCAGAAAAAGATGCATTACAAAGAAAAGTAAAAAGCTCTGTAAATACAAAAATTTATCACTATGTTGTTCAAAACTAATCAAATGCTCTAAGAACGAAGTTAAAGCACTACAAAGAAGATCTTCATTATAAATCTCATATATAGTTCTTTGTAGTATGTTTGTGCTTAAGATTAATAGCATCATGTCTAGAAGAAATAAATTTATCCTTGTAACTCTTGTCAAATTTATTTGTAAGGGTTGAGCTTAAAGAGGCTTGTGTAAAAGAATACTTAATGTTAAGCCTGAAGAAGCTTGTTGAAAGAATACTTGGATTTGAGCCTAAAGAGGCTTGTTGAAAAAATATTTGGGTTTGAGATTGAAAAAGCTTGTTAAAAGAGTAATTGGGTTTGAGCCTAAAAAAACTTGTTGAAAGAGTACTTGGGGTTGAGTCTAAAGAAACTTGTTGAAAGAGTACTTGGGTTAGACTGTGACTTAATTAAATCTTATTTAGTTAAATAGATTAGGTGTTATAGGTTATTTTAAAAACCTATATTAGCCCAACAAATAAACTTATTTAAATAAAAATAAATATATGTTAATATTATTATTATATCAAATTTGTTATAATATATTAAAATTATACATTTATTCATCTTTTTAAATATTCAGTATATTGACTTATATATAAAAAAGTGAAGCTTATAATTTTGTTGAAAGATAAATATTCAATAACAAAATGAAAGGTATAACAATAGTTTCTACACGATAAGAATGTTTTTTTTTCTTGGTCAGACTTGGATTCTTACACATGGAACACTTTTTGGTTGACCAGGTTCCCTCATATCATGCGTATACACAGGGTTTTAGAAGACCTCTTCTTTTTATTTATTTTCATATCCGGATTTGGACAAATTTGTGATTCCTCACATTGTGACCATTGTTAATTGTGCGCAACTTTCCAAACAATCTTTTGTACACTTTTGAGATGTATTCAACATGTAAACATGGTGTATGCAAGATGTGTAATCATGGTGAGTACGTTCACATGCATCAATGACATGTGAGAAAGACGTGTAATTTATAGAATTTATCACAATCACACCACATTTCATTCAGTCTGATTGTTAATTGTTTAGTTAATCATCCTTTCTTAGGTTAAGCGTCTCTTGCACTAAGAAACATGTATCGCATCATGAACTTAAGCACATGATGATAGTTTCTTTATTTGTGCATTTGCTAAGACCTTATGAAATATTTTTTAGTAAACTTGGCAAGATCTCAATTTTGTTGCGAGTTTTCTCCCTTTTTGATTGAAAAAAGTTGTTTCATCTTTGGTAAGTCAACATGATAATGCTCTAATTGGTAGGTTTATGTTTTTTCTATGTATTGAGTTGATTGCCTCTACTAGATGTGTGGTCATATGTCCCCACCATCGACATCCATCCCATGTGAAAGTCCATATGTCTCGTGGTATTTGATCAAGCCATCCCAAGTGATTGAGTAAAATTTAGTGAAGATCAATAGTAATTTGTATGGGCATCTAATCCTTGTATTAAAGGATCATTTAGGATATGAATAATATTGGAGTTTGTCATTTAAGAGCTAGGAATTTGGAATTGGAGAAATATTTGGTATAATTTCTACATACAATTGAACATCATGTAAACAAACAACATCAATTATACCTTGAACGTTATCATCATCAATAATTTTAACTTCTTTGTACTTGATAATTTATCTTCATGCAAATTGTGGGTATAAAAAACATATGTCACCAACTTCCTTATGTGGCTCCATATTGATATTTGGCAAATGATATTCCTTTGGTATTCAAGTTTGACTTGTCTTTTTAATGTAAAGAATGTTGGGTTGGTACATACAAATTTATCCCCTTCATTTTTTTGGTCATCTCACCTTTGTAGTAAACTAAGAAATTGACACATGAGGAAGTCATATTATGATATCAAAGAACTCTAATGAGTAATGAAATGGTCTTGTAAACCAAGGTATTCATTATCTTTATTTATAGGTTAAAGTCGCGGTATATTGATGATCATTCATCTTGACCAATTCAATAACCATTATCCATCTTGAAATTTAAATTTAAGCAGTAAAGATTTTTTGACACTCTGACGTAAAACAATTGATTTCCTAACACACTGGTAAAAAATAATTGATTCTCTAACACATTGATGTAAAATAATTAATTCTCTAACACACTAATGTAAACAAGTTGATTCCCTAACACACTGATATAAAGTAATTGATTTCCTAATGCATAAGTAGGGTTTATGATTGGCAACATAAAAAAATAACAATTGTGAAATACATAGGGTTCTACTTTTTTGAAACCAAATTAAAAAGAATGACATAAAATTACTTGGTGAAACATTGATGCTTAATAGACAATAATACTAAAAAAATGCTTGTGTAGGATAATTTACCTAGTGTAAAGAAAAGGGGGAGATCTACATTACTATTACAATCATGGGCATCGTATTGTATGATGAACATTCAACCAAAGATCAAATATGATTTATCATATCCATTTGTTACTAGGTATGACATTATTTATGATTTCCATTTATCATTTTACTACAATAAATAATGATACTAACAATTTTAAAATAACCTATTTTTATTTTGTGATAAATGGAGTGACAAAGGGCTAAGATATACGAGAACTCCCCATGATGATGTCATAGGTTACATATTCAAATTTGATTATATGACTAATGATCAGGTTATATACAACAACATTTTGATAATTAATTGATTTTCATTAGCTATACAAATACTTATATGTGTTTTGTATTTTTAGTTTATTTGGATGTCATATAGAAGGTTTGAGACATTCTTACCAAAAACCATGCTTACAAGGCCTTCAAAATATGGAGTGCATGCACTTTGTTAATTTGTTTTCCAATTATTGTATGACATCAAACTAATAAGGTACAGTTACAATTTGTCCTATAGCAACCCATCTCAAATCCCCTTTATTATTGTGAGAAACTCCACCAATAAAACATGAGAGGACATAATGACACAAATTAGGTAGAGGAACACATGCAATAGGAATCAACTTTGAAAGAACAACGAAAAAACATGATTGTTGATCAATCTATTTAGAGACCACTACAACAAACCCACGAATATTTTGAATGGTGTGGTGCAAATTCTAAAATTTTCCAATGTATAGAATGTTCCATAAGTGTAAATAACACATGCTATAAGTACACAAATGCCAACAAGACAATGTTCAAGGCAACAACATACACTACCACCACAAAGTCCAATTATTGAAAATAACATAAAGAAGGAAAGCATTGAACATCATCCCTAAACCTTTGAATTCAATCCATCACATGAACAGTTTATGAACACCTCATACTCAACAAGTGGTATAGGATATGGCTTCATGAGCAATCTAGTTGGAGCTGACCTTTAGACACCAAAATCTTTGTACGCTTATATTCAAAAACATAAGTATTTCTTCCTTTGCATCAATTCATGAAAATGTTGGTGGAAGTTCTACAACACCCATGATTATTAATGTAATAAACTTTTAAACATCAAGGGAATCAAATGACATCATTACAAATGATTAAAATGTTAATTTATGATGACCAAGTTGAACTCTAAGAACAACCACAAATGCTTCAAAATTCGAAAGAAACAAACATCCTCAAAAATGTAGTATTGGTAAATACAAACGCCATTGATTGTTGTCTATAAATTTAATTTTGAAGTATATGTGAAAGTTATTTATCTTTTTTTTTTAACAATGAAATTGATCTTTTAAAATGTTTAAGGTTTAAGATTTTTGTCGATACTATATGTGTACTCTTTAATTTACATTGGATAATGAAATTATGTATCTTTAAATTATTTATAATTTCTTCTTACAAAAATTTTAAATTATAAATAAAAATTAATATTTTACTTACATATTAACTAATTTTAAGTACTTTTTAAGCCGATAAATAAAATAAAAATATATATTATATAAAAATAATATTAAAAATGTAAAAAAAAATGTACTTGTGAAATTGATTATTTGTTAATCGATTTCTCAATAAAATAAATAAATAAAAAATCTTAAGTAAATCGTTTAGTGAAAGATAATTTGTTTTTTGGATATCTTAAATGAATGGTAAATGTCGTACTTTGATAAATATATTTCGATGTTATATTTTGATTTTTCATTATAATATTATAAATAAATAAAAACTCCAATAATTCATAAAGAGAATAGAAAGAGAGAAAAAAATAAATGGAAATTAAGATTCTAGCCTCGACATCTAAAACATTTACCACAAAAGAACAAACTTTGACTTCTCATTCACACGAGCTCTCGGGGCCAGGGGTGTGGCATCCATCAAAGGCATGGAATTCAGATCTTGTACCCAAAATTAGGCAACACCCACTTCACATCTCACTTTTAACTCGAGCCACAATGGAAAAAGTATCGATTTTGCTGTTGTTGGTGTTACTGGGTCTGGTCATTTGCAGTGTGGAAGCAGCTCAGAAGGCTCCTTGGAGGATTCAGACCCTCTTCTCAGTGGAATGTCAGAACTACTTTGATTGGCAAACGGTTGGACTCATGCACAGTTTCAGGAAGGCAAAGCAACCTGGTCACATTACTCGTCTTCTCAGTTGCACTGAAGAGCAGAAGAAAACTTACAGAGGGATGCATTTGGCTCCCACTTTCGAGGTGCCCTCAATTAGCAAACACCCCACAACTGGTGACTGGTAAAGTAGAATTATTGTTTGCGTTAAAACAAAAAAAAAAGAAAAAAAAAAGAGAGAGTTACATCAGCTTTAGGAGCTTGAAATGGACTAGAGATTGTAGATTGGTTTCTTAAAAAAATAGCATTGGTTGTGATTGTTCCATGCTAGTTGCTGCCACTGTGGTGTTACATGTTCCTCCCCCCCCCCCC